ATCACAAATATGTCAAAAAATGTCAATTTTGACACCTTTAACCTCACTTTTCTCAAAAACCTGACGTGATAGAGCAATTCTGCCGCCGGATTCGGATTCAGCGCGAAAAATTACGTAAGAAAACATAGTTAAATCCCAATCAACTTTCAACACCTCCAATTTTGCAAGCCTGTTATTGATACTTCTATAACAGTAAGAAAGTTTGTACTTCACTCCCAAATATCGATGATATACACAGTTTAATTACCAAATGACTGGATTTTTACATGAGTGCAATCTATGCAGCCCACAACTCTCGGAAATCGTGCTATGTCAAAAAATTTTATTTGCTCGGTTTTTATTTCATCCGCAAGAGTAGGAAATTTTATAAATCTTGGCCGAAGACGAGCAATAGCATTCGTTACGCGGTAAACAATTCTATGAGCACTTGTTTTGCTCACTCCAGAAAAATTATCTGCCGATATAAAGTGACTGCCAGTAGCGTAGAATCTCAACGTCAAGAGAAGCTGATTCATAGGAGAAATAGCATTGTTCCTGATAAACAAATAACAGTCATAAATTAGTGATGTAAAATATAAAAAATGTTAAACTATTAAACTACTATTTTGTCCTTGGATATATGTATTATCAACATAAATATAAACTTCTCAATAATAAAAACTAATTTCTTTGCGTTACTACGATTGTACTTGTTACTGTCAATATCTTTTATTATCAATAACAATCAATAATTATTATTCGTGAATGACAAGAAGTTTTGTTAATAGCAAATACTCTTAGTTACAATGCTGTTTTATAATGCTACGTATACTTACCGTTCTGTCGGATGTGAAATTTCGGGTTCGATAGCTTCCAACACTTCAGCAATGCGTTCTTTCGATAAACGGAACCGAGCGTGAAAATCTACATCATCTAACTCATAAAAATGAACAGGTCGTCTTCTAACATTATTTGGTCTTCGATTAATATCAATAGCAAAATCTTCATCATCTGATGACGATAATACATGTGCAAAAGCCATATTATGTACAAACTTTGAAATTTGTTTCCGATTTATTACGAAAAATAAATGCAATACTTCTTTCTACAATTCAACGCATGAAACACACAACAATAACCACACAATTTCAATCACGTCACGGTCGTAAACCTCGGTTAAATTTGTTGAACGCCCAAAATCGGAGGTTCATCTTTAACTGAGGTGTTACATCCCGATAAAATTCTCTCTTTCGTTATTATAAATATATGATTCATACCTTATTTTTATTTTATCTCTAGGTTAATATTGCGTCATGGTCTTGATATTTCGCCCCTATTTTATCTTTATTTCGAAACCGAAAATTCCGTTTCTCTTTTAAAGGGGGGGGTATATCTTTTTCTTCATTTAAACATTCAAACCAACAGATAGATCACGTTATGTTCCTTTATGCGTCACACAGATTATCTACTCTAAAGAATGTATAAGAATATTCCACGATCTTTTTTCAAAGAAGCATTTCTATTAAATAATAAATAAAAGCGTATATTAACAGTATATTAGTGATAATGTATGTTACATTTGTGTTTAATAATTAAGCAATTAATAACAAAATAGAAATCTTCCTGAATGCGAGGACGAATATCTTTTTCTTCCTGTTTTCTTTTTTCTGTTAATAAAATTAAACTAATCTTAGATATATAATTCAGAATGTAATAGATTCGCCTCACATAAGGATGTTAGTTAAGGAAAACCGAATTTTTATTATAAATTAAAACTCTCAACTATTACCTATTAAGATTAAATCTGTAGAGTGGGGAGTAGGGCTTACACGGAGCCGTGCTACCTTATCTTAAGGAACCAAGCGCGAGTATAGGTTCTACCAAATTTTGAGGAGTGTTGATTAGTTCTGAAAAGACACTCCCATATTCATTTCCAAAATATAAAAGGAACTGCCAAAAGCAGTCGAGACACAGTTAATTCTATTCTTCAATTCAGTTCAGTCCAGGACAGTTAATTCTATTCTTCAATTCAGTTCAGTCCAGAACAGTTAATTCTATTCTTCAATTCAGTTCAGTCCAGGACAGTTAATTCTATTCTTCAATTCAGTTCAGTCCAGGACAGTTAATTCTATTCTTCAATTCAGTTCAGTCCAGGACAGTTAATTCTATTCTTCAATTCAGTTCAGTCCAGGACAGTTAATTCTATTCTTCAATTCAGTTCAGTCCAGGACAGTTAATTCTATTCTTCAGTTCAGTTCAGTCCAGGACAGTTAATTCTTTTATTCAGTTTAGTATTTCATTCATTCTTACATACAGTTTTGGTCAGAAATCAACTTGATCAAGGTGAGAACTATCCTCGCGCTTCCTCAGAAATACACTCCATATTTTCCTTTTTTTATTGTTCTGTTTCACTCTTATATTTTTCTTTTTATTATTAAACGAAAATATTGAATACATCAAATCGCTGAAACCTAAATCTCTGCTCTGCATCTCACTCAATTACATATATTCAAGTACATATATATGAGTATCCGAGGGATTGTTGCGACTGTCGCTGCCAATAGCGTGGCCCCCGTCTTATAGCACTTTCTCGGAATATTCATAATTATCTCACATTCGGAGGATTGTTACGATGGTCGCTGCCAATAGCGTGGCCCCCGTCTTACAGCAGTTCTTCTGAACATTAATAATTTTTGCATTATTTCCATGCCTACTAAGGGCGGACGAAGACAGCAAGAGAGGAGATTAAGGTTTCAAATAAAATCAGCTCTCATTTCAAATCACGATCCTTTCCCGTATTCTGAAAAACTATCCAATACTTCCCAGTGAACATTATTAATCGCACAACCTAATCTCCGATCCCCGAGTAAATTACTTAAATGCATTGACTCAAAATACGGAGAAAATCTCAATAAAATTACGTAACAGAGGCAAATGAACGTTAACGAAGGTTTAAGGCAGTTGTGGAACACCACAAATGCGCTAAACCGAGTTCAGCGAGTTAAACTTTGGTTAACTCGAGTTAACCATGAATTGTGGAACCGGGCCTTAGTGTGGTTTTGTATTTCGATAAGTCATAAAGAAAACTAGCACGAATAAATAAAAAAAATATTTTTTTTTGTTAAGTTAAATTGTTAATGCATACGATACCGAAGATAATATTTTATTTTTTGAGTATTAAAGTATTTTAAATATTTTTCAAAAGATATGAAGAATTTATGTGAATCTCCAATAATACATACTGCAAGATTTTAAGCTTGTTCCTATTAATGTGCCCTGTTTTGGAGTTGAAAACGTTGTGTTATAAGTGTACATTGAAATAAATATAATTGAAATAATGATTTATGTAATATTAACCTAAACAATTAGCTTAAATTTATTACCTGTTTTAGTAACTATACGTTAAAATGAATCAAATGTAGATAGGCACACAAATTGGGGGCACATTAATAGGGCCATCGTCGCTTGGAGGACTCACTAATAAGGACAAAAACATGTTTTTTATTTTTGTCAAAAACATTATAAAATATTAACATTTTTTAAATTAAAGAAATATTAGAAGAAAAAGAAATAGTTGAAAAACCGATATTGATTGCAAGCAGATAAAATTAAAGCTACAATATTTAATAATTAATTCAGTAATAAGCGAGTTGGCTAAAAGGCACATTAATAGGGAGTTACCCTACAGCTGTTCATGGAGCACACGAACGCTACGCAACGCTACGCTATCAACACACTACCTCTTTGGCGATAACATTTGTAGCACGATTCATGACGTCAAACGCTACCAACAATAACATCACGATAGTGTTTCATAGTGCTATCAGTTAACTCCCTGAATAGTGGTAGCGCTACATAGCACTGGTAGTGAGCTCCGTGAACGCACCCATAATATATATATATATATCATTCTGTCTTAGGGTATGAGCTTGTGCTCATACCCTTACTCAAACGCGTACATCTGTTCTTATCTAACATATGCCAGCAACATCTATCGCAAGACCGCGCAACTACTGCTACACGGAATTTTAGCTCTGTTGACAGGCCCAGTTTTCGCAAATCACTTGTATACATGTATTTTCTATTCGGTGACGATACTTTTTTTCTAGACTTTCAATCTTAGTTCTACAAACTCGGTATCGTTCAATAATGTGACCTCAGCTACACGCTTATTTTCAAGATATAGACTCTAAAACTCTTATATC